ATACTGCAACTGTCTAGGATGTTCGGTATCTACCTGCGTGTATCCATTTGCACACAATTGGCTCTTGCGTGCTCAATGTCCTATTCACTCTTGCCTTTTTCCGCTCAAGTAGTGAATGTCAAAATTGCTAGCAAACTTAAGTTCTAAGGTTTCACAACAAGTACCAACCGCTTCGGGGTGGAGTGGAAGTTGTGTATTCACAAGGACGGACAATTAAAAGCAAACGGACTTGAACCAAGCAATTCGCAACGAAATTAAAAGACAAACACGAAACATTGGCACGAAACAAAATTAAGCACACAAAGAACTAGGTTAAACTTAATATGAACTAATATCAAGTTTACACTAGTTTAGAGCACAATAAAAAGTTGACAGAAAACTGAAACTAATTTAGAGTTAACAATCAGAGTTTCTTGGTAAAACTGTGCGACCACTGTAGCTCCTAGTTTTCTGAAGTTTCCTGAGCATTCCCTGAACCTGAATTAAACTTGAAACCACTGTGAACTACAATTCTGTTAAACAACTAAAACAGCTGGGAAAAATTAATCTGCAGATGTGCAACTGATGTCCAAAATTGCAGGAACAATGCTGATTTCGAGGTTAACAACTTGTGCAATTCATGCTGTTAAACACCGCTCAAACATAGGTTCACAAGCTCAAAAGATCTCAAACTTAAAACCTTTTCAATTTCAGTTGCAGTTTCCACAAAGCAGAATAACCACAAAGTGCAAAAAATTTCAGCTGAAAACAGTCAACAAAACTGCAGAAATTGCTGAAACAGCGCAAATATCAGTGGCAGGAATAATACAGATTTTCTTTGCTCTAATGCTAGTCCAAGGCTTCACAATTCAGAAGCTCACAGATGTAGAAACAATGCTGAACTCTCAGTCCAAACTGTGCAGATTTTGCTGCTCAAACACTCCTCCAAATTGATGCAATTAGGCTGTCAAACATATGCAGAAGTCTGATCAAACACTGCTGAAACAGGGCAGATTTACTGCTCAAAAGTGTTGGATTTCCAGCAGCCTAAACCATTTGTTTGTTGCTGCAATTTCTGGACAACAAGAAGTAGCTAAAGAGCTGGTGTGATATGAGCATACAATGCAGAAAGATGTTGCTAAATGCTGTCCCAAACAGTGGTTGTTGAATGCAGAATTACAACTCAACTTTGGCTCTCCAAAACTAATTCAATTCAACTGAAAACTTGACGACAAGCTCTCAATCAAAATTCAACAGCAACAAGAATGAAAAATGAATTTAAGTCTTCGAGTCAAGCACTCGAGCTCCAAATGAACAGTTGCAATCAGTTAATTCAAGCAATAAACAACACGAGTCGACTTGAATGATTCAAGCTAATTACCTCAGAGAACAAATTCTCTCCAAAATTTCAGAAATGCCTGACTGAAAATCTCTCGCTGAATTGTGTGACATATAAAAATTGTTAAAGATAAATAAAAAGATTGAAGTTGGACGTAGTGTGTTTTCTGCAAACAGATTGCAGGTAGTGCATCTTGAGCTGCAGTTCTTGAAGGGCTAAGGTCCGAGAGAACTCATCGTCAGATCAACAAAGGACAATTTCTATGTATGCTGTGTATATATAAAGCAATTTCTAAACTGAACAAGCTTTGACACCAAACTTTTTTCTTACTCGACTTTGATTGATACATTTCATAACCTTTTTAAGATGTGGACAATTTATACCATGTAGAATGTGTGACTCATATATGCAATTACCGACAAATTTAAGTAAACGACCATTAGTCTACTAAATGCTAGACTATTATTCTGCAGAATAGGCTAGGCATTTTTTGTATATGTCTTTAGACTTTAGCCAGTTTTATATTGTACCAGGTCAAAGAAACGCTAAAAGTTCAATTGAACGGCCAATTATAACCGGCCATAATTAAAAAGTATTACCAAATAGACTAACGGGCTAATGGGCGTTTGGACATAGAATTGTAAAATTCCAAAAAAAGTTAAAAAACAATTTCAAGTGAAAATGGTATTTGAAAAATAAAGTTGTGTTTGGACATGAATATAATTTTGGATTGTTTTTGAAGCTTTGTGAGTGAGCTGAGTGAAAAATTTAAAAAATAACTTTTTGGAGTTTTTCAAATTTTCAAAAAATTCCAAAATTCATCTTCAAGTGAAAATTGGAAATTTTATGGCCAAACACCGATTTCAAAAAAAAGAAAAAAAAATCGGAAAAAGTGAAAATTCTTATGTCCAAACGGGCTCTTAAAAAGGTAATTCGTTGGAAACGAGTAACTATACAATCTCGCAGAACAAAGAACCCAAGTGAAGCGAGACCAGCCTTACTGTTTTGTTAAAGCAGTAACAATACCAACCGGGCAAAAGGCCACTCAAATTTCAACTTGTCACTCTAGCTAGAATTGTGACCTTTTGATCATTGGATTGTGCATGCCAGCCCAAAATGAGAAACATAATAATAGAAGAATATCAGCCCGTAGAACTACAAAGCAACCGAATATTGGTTTTATCAAAACTGTAATTTATACTCCAAAGAAAAGAAAAGTACCCAGAGGTAGATTGTTAGCAGATAAAGGAAATGATTATGAAGACAAAGTATAGACCAGAATTTGTATCCTAGACGAAACAGAAGCAGGTGGTGGGACGTAACAGGCACTTCCGTTTTCCTTCTTCCTGAACACGATGGTATATTTCAATTTGACAGTTCAAAATGACAATTGATAAGCTCCTCATTGAGCAATTAAGATAGTAACGAACAAAATCAAAAAAATATGGCAACTTCACATCAACAAAGTAACTCATTACATGATCATTTGAAAAAGAAAAAAAAAAAGCTTCTGCCATGTCCATAGTTAATGTTTCTTACAAGCTGTAACCACGAGGTATGATTTAATTCTCTCTAACATCAAAGTGGTGTTTCACACGTTTTAGTTTAAATAATGATTGATAGCTTGTATTAGTGTTATTTTCTTTCGACTCGTGAAAGAGGGAAACCTTTCAAATGAAGAACTTGAATCAGCACACAGAACTCTGTTAATAATGCAAGCAAAGCAAGCAGAGTAGGAATGATACACTATTTCTTTGTTCGGATGATGAGACTGAAGAGTTGGAATTTCATTTCCATTCTATTTCCACTATTACAGTGCAGAAAACTTTTTCAGGAAACACATATTCTAACTCTATTCTGTGTCTACTGTACATGTTGTAGCAACTATTGATTACAAAAATTATGGACTCTTACGAGTCCTAATGTCGTTTGTGTTGGGTGCTATAATAATCTATAAATACATACAAGGTTAAAGAAGAAAAGAATGACAATAACTAAAGGGACTCACCTTTGCTCTATTTCCATGATGAATCCAGAGCTCTAAGAAGGTATTGAAATGTTAATAATTGTAGACTTCTGCATATTCTCGCAATTCTTGCCTGTTCTTATTTTGGAACAACATGTAGGCATCTCATACTGTCTAAGCAGGAGACAAGGATCTCAGCAAATCCTAATCAATTGGAATTGCTATAATAGCAGAATGTTGCATATAACCGAGGGTTCCAATCCACTTTGGATCCCATAAAATACGTGCTTTCAATGTCTTCAAGTTCAGCTACTCGTGGAAATCCTCATAAGGCGAAGATTCACTTGATGAATCACTTTCAAATGGGGTGGTCTCTCTTGGTGATGAAGGAAGTGATTCTCTTTGTTGAGAAGATAAACCTGGAAAGAAAGACTTGTGTCAGTAACCAATATTACTGATACTTTGTAGCATAGCTTAAAATTAAAACGACCACACTGTCAGCCAAACTGGCCCAAAACCAGAGGACTAAAATAGCAACTGTGACTAAGCAATCTAGACATCATAAAATGTTGGGCCTATTAGAAAGCTATTAGTTCTCTGTTCTGCTGACTTTAGCACAACTGAGAGCACAGAATGGCATCCTACATTAGTTCTTCCAAGAGGAAAACAATAGGACCATAAAAGAGAGAACAGGATACTTTCAACATGGAAAAAGCTCTGCCAACCTTTTGGTCCTCTAGAACGAAACTTCTTTGTATGCCGTCTAATCAGCTTCTTGGCTTTTGTTATGGTTAGTTGTCTGGCAAAGGGAGAGAACTCTGCCTCACTTTCACTCCAGTCACCAGGTATCTCATTTTCTGCTTCACCCCTCATTGTCCGAAGCACGAAAGCCCTGGCCTTTCTGCGCTGAGAATTGAAAAGGCCTTTTATAGAGGTGACAAAACCATCACCTGCACCCTCAGGGGGGCGCTTAGGCCAGGATAAAGGGTTCTGCTCGGATTTTCCGGCTGAACCACCATCACTATCACTGAGATTAAGATCAATATCGGGGACACCAGCAGCACCAGCTTCCCTTTGATTATGTGCTTTATCTTTAAACTTCTTGCACTGCATTAGTATAAAAGACATGGTCACTGAAGAGTTAGTCCTCTTGAGGTAGTCGATGAGTCTGGAGATACTTATTACCGATTATCATACAGCAACAGATAAAGATATTTAATGTGGTCAAATATTGAATGATTACAGATAATGGAAATTGGAAAAATATAATTTCAAAGGAACTAACCTGCATTCCTGTTAGTGATTTTAGGACTCCCCATATGATGTGTTTCTTAACTCTTGAGAATAGCCTCCGCCAGGTTCCAGTAAATTCAACACGATGGAATGTATCCATCAGTAATCTTAAATCACTCACAGCAAATCTTGATCCTTCATATGTAACAAGTAACTCAACCTAGTTCATGCATATCAAACATGTATTAGTTCCGAAAACAAACAAACTGACGAAGCTACAATAAGTTATTAGCCCACATAATGGACTGACCTGACTAATCTTGATATTGTGGAACTCTCTCATTCTTCGAGGCCTAGATTTTTTCTCATCCTGTGCCTTGCCCACCTTTTTCTCTTCATGAGAGGAGTGGCCAAACTTAATTAGTTTTGATTCTTTGGATTTGTTTCTGTTACCTTCATCTGGCTACTCAATACCGGCAAAGGGCTCACTTGTTGAAGAAGTAACACACTACTAGAAACACATGGATTTCCCACGGCGAAATCAGTGGGAAACCGGTGGGAAAATCGAGTTTTCACACCGCATTCCCACCGAAATGAGTCACCAGGAAAATGCCTGGTGGGAAATATCTTCCCAGAGACGTGGTGGGAAATTTCCCACGGGTTTCCCAGAGAAACTTTAATAGGAAAAATAATGAAATTTCGCACCAACAATCAGTGGGAACTATTATTAGTAATTTTTATTAATTTTAATACATTAGCCAGGGAAGTGGTGGGAAAAATGCATAGGGAGCTGGAAATAAAGTATGAACTTTCCCACTGATAACGGTGGGAAATATGGAAGTTCTGAAAAATAAAGTGTGAACATTCCCACTGATATCCGTGTGAAATGTGTTAATTCTGAAAATAAAAGTATGAACTTTTCCACCGATATCAGTGGGATAAATGCAAATTATGAAAAATCGTATGAACTTTCCCACCGATATCAGTGGGAAATATGCAAGTTCTGCAACTAAATGACGAACCTTCCCACGGAATCAGTGGCAATTCCGTGGGAAATTTGGAAATTATTTTTATGCACAATGCTGTAAATATACTGCACCACCTGCCAAACAAAAAAATACAACCACCAACCTAAATACAATTAAACATTCACACACAAAGATCAGCATCTTCCTATCCATTTCGTTAATTAACAACCAACAAAAACTGANTCTGGCTGCTCAATACCGGCAAAGGGACGTCACTTGTTGAAGAAGTAACACTTGAGGAGTGCATTTGCAGCATAAGTTCATCAGTAACAGATTCAGCAACGTTTTCTTCCCATGTTCTATCAAAGGATGATGTCCGTCTTAGCTCAGGGGTTGAGCCACAAACAATATTAGCTTTTAAGTTCTGCAACTTTGACACCTGCAATATTCAGGCAAGATAAACACATGTTTAATAAAGAGAAAAATGTGAGAATTTCGATAAAAGAAAATTAAGCATCAATGCTGGAGAATTTGCCAATCGGTAAGATAAACTTTAGCCCAAAGGGATATAAAGCCACCCTTCACATATCTAGCTAAGAAGTAACGAACAGTTAATGGAGGATACGGGACTCACTTGGGAGGAATCGCCAGAAGAGGGAAACTGACTTGCAGTTGTAACTGGTAAAGCGGAGTTGCTTGATTTGGCGCAGACCTGAGGATCTTTTGTTAGATGGTTACTTGACACTGGTGCTTCTTGAATTGATGAGCCTTTCTTGGCACGCCTTGAACCAGCAGTAGTTGAAAACTTCCACACTTCCTTTAAGCAACAAAACATTTAGCAACAATATCTGGTCAAATGGTTTATTTTCTGAGGAAAAACTTATTAGCGCGTATTTCCAATAAATGGACATTAGACACACCTGCCTGCGCTGGGAGTCTTGCTCTTCTTCTGGGAAAAAGTACTCCCACATCATTCTGTACATTGTCTCAGTCAAATGTATCTTCAAGGGGTAAATCTCCACCTGTGCAACGAAGGAATTTAAACAGGTTATGAAGTATGATAATAGAAAAGGCAAAAATTTGAGAAAAGGGTTAATCTCCCACTCAACTGCCAGCAAATATTTTTGGCATGTTATTCAGTGTGAAGAATGCAATGACCAGCACAGTGCTCAGAAGTGTAAAGTTCCCAAATCTTACAAGTTATCCCTCTCAAAAGGAAGAAAAAACCTAAAGTTTCAAAGTACTTATCAAAAGAAGCATTACTACCTGGAATAGTTCGAGAGGATAGTTTCCATCTTTTGGAGCCCCCTGCTTAGCATCTACTCGAAGCATCACTTTTCTGTAGCCATGACAAGCGAGACTCTATGGTCAGAACTAGCCACTGAAGTAAATATTTAAGGAGTGAATAACTGACAATTCAAAAATTTCAGTGATCATGCTGAAGAAATCAATTGGTAAACTATGGAGGTAGAGGTAAAGCTGCATCATAGCACATTTTCCACCCTGGTCATGCGGTGTACAGTCCCATGAGTGGCTGCCTTCTTATGGGTAATTGATTTCATCGGGTTTGATCATTTTCTTAATTGTCTTATCCATGCCCCTAACTCACTGGATTAGGACTACAACATACTATGTTTCACTCATTCATAAGTTTCAGTTGGGTACCTTAAAGAAAACCATTTCAAAGTGAAGTTCTAATACTCAAGGAAATTGTCTACGGAGACATAAATTATTAACATGTGTAGTTTGACCAAACCCAATTGCCTAAATATGCAGAATTGAGTACTTGAATGAGATCACATGATAATTAGGAGAGGGAAATCAATAACAAAGCAGATGTTAAAATGTGTGATCCGTTTCATCTAAAAACTCAGACTCTTAGACAGGGATTACTTTATTTATTTTAAGTTTGTAACACGTCCCCTAACGCGGGGGCTAGATTCTTTTATGACCATGCACGTGGAAATGTTATGTTGATGGATGGGGTTAAGACTTGGAACCCGTTTGGATGGGCTTGTTTTAAGTGGCTTTTAAGCCAAAATACTTTTACGCCATAAGTTAGGAATTCTAACTTTTGGCTTTTGGCTTGTTTTTGTCATTTTAGCTTAAAAACAAGTGCTTAAAAGCACTTTTTTACTTTATCCAAACACTACAAAATGACGTAAAAGCTATTTTGGCTTAAAAGCACTTAAAACAAGCCAATCCAAACGGGCTCTTGGGCCAAGGACCTCTGTGACTAGATTGTAAGATACCATGTTAAATTGTGTAAATTATCTCATCTAAAAGCTTTAACTTTTAGAAAGATGATATTTTTATTTATTTATTTTATGTCTGAGATAGCAGAGACAAGCAGTTTACTTAAAAGATGGGTTTAAGTGCAGAAGGCCACTTTTAAAAAAGAAAGGAGCTACGTGGACCAGAGAAAGAGAGTCTGGTATAGCAAGCTGTGTCAAGGTACTCAGAAATGGTCGCAGATGCAAGGTTGTCTCCAACACAATCAAATTCAATTTTTGCTGTTTGTACATGTACATTAGAGGAGCCAGTAGAAGTACCAACACCTATGGTTGCCAAAGATATGTAGAGAAATAATCATCTCAATTGCAAGTTGAGAGAGAATACCAATACAAAACTTTAAAGGACAAACATGGATACGAAATAAAAATGGGATCCCACCATGGCCCCCAACCCATATAAAATGGAAGCATAAACACTATACAGTTTAGATGTGCAAAAAGGAGCAAGAGACAGAGCAGGAAATAAACTGAAATTGTTGCATACTTTCCCCATTCAGTAGGAGGATTCCATGCTGATAGAAGCATATCAGACTTGGCATTTGGTAAGCAGTTTCTCACAACAAAATATTTTGTTGTGAATTTAGCAACCCCAACATCTTTGTAATCACGGTCGAAATCATATATCTGCATTAAGAAACAGCAGATTATATTCTTTCCTTCTGACTCAAGTGATTTCAATTTTAAATAGGAAAAATAAATTTCTAAAAACAAAAAAGAAGTAGGACGGTTAAGGGGAATTCCGAAAGTTATTAAACATAAAACAGTTTTCTGATCGCAAGATAACTTATTAAGGACCTCTGGGATTGCATGAACAAAGACATGGGTACCTTTTTATTCTTTTTGAGTAAGGTAACAGTATATTCATCAGCTCAAAGATTGTGCTGGAAACCATATTTACAAAAAAAAAAAAAATACATCCTGTCCATTGTCCAACAAAGCATGGTACTTAACAGTTCCTAAACAATGAACAGTTTCTGTAGGCAAGATACTTGTTTAAAAGGGATTGCATAAAAAGGAACACAGTACTTTACAGTTCAAGTATCAGTGTCCTTTACTGAAGTTTACTGACATGACTTTAGTTTTACCATGTAATGGTCTTAGACAAAACTGTAGAAAAAACTGACAGCCTGACACTGTGTTAGTGGAATCCATTTCATTAGCATCAAACCCTAACTCTGACACAAAAACAAATCTTTGGATGATGAAACCAAATTCGAAAGATGCAAAATTCATGGATTTTACAGCTGATCTATTTCAGAGGGGTCACCCTGCAATAAAAGTTCTCCAACTTAGGGAATTATTACCATATTGTTTCCAATTTTAACCCCTTCAAATAGATGAAACTTTGGCTGCAGTTTACTCCAATATAATTTTCTAGTTATTTATACCTTCGACTGCTAACTATTCTGACTCTTGTTTTTCTTTAATTGCTTCTTCTTTTTGTCGGAGAGAATAAAGCTGTACCATAACCAATATGAGATCACAAAGGGACAGCTTTAAAAAAAACATGAACTTTAACTTACGCAAGACCTAAAAGCCATTAATACATGTATGTTTATATTTGTTTCCTGGAAGATTGTCAGGAATATTGCAGCAGCTTGATATAAAATCCTACTGATAACTGATAAGCATTATCCTTCAACAGGTGTTGCCCATCAAGATTCCTTACAGGAATTTAGCCAAGCAAGGATATACCAAAAATACTGAAGCCATGTAGAGACTCACCATATCATTTATCTCAGCTTCAGCAAATGATCTTCCGTCCACAAGCATGCTCCAAACTACTTTATTAATTTGCAAAGAGATGCGCATAGCACAAGAAGGACTTTTGTTCTTTTCTTTCTCCATCAATCGGAGCTGTGCAGCTTTCTGTAGAGCCATCCTCAGAGATGCAGATGCTACTTTTCTGGATTTTTGAGCATTTACTAGATTTTTCTTCAGTCTTTGCACCTGCAGAAAGTTGCTTTTAATAAGCCTTCAAACTTGATACACCTTTTATCCCTATTACTGTAATGGAATCTATACATTTCAAAGCAAAACTCCAAGAAATCTGTTAACTTCATGGTCTTCACTACAAAAGTGACACAAGTTACCATGTGCAAACTATCAGAAGAAGGGTGTGTGTGTCAAAATGAATGGGCGGTTGGGCTGCATACTGGGGCGTATAGGGGTTTTAGAACATGGAGTCTGCAAAACACACCAACTTTTGTTTAGGCTTGGACAGGTTAGGTTCAAGTGGGTAGACATCTGCTTGGAGCTACTTGCAAATACCTTTTTTTTGTATCAATGGAAGTTCCTTTTTTCACCCCAAAAAAAAAAGAAGAATCTCTTACCTTTGCACCACAAAGACTTCTATTTCACCAAAAAGACAGTAAAACTGTCAAAATTCTTTACCATCTTTACATAATTACTTTCTTTTAACTAACACTGTTAATTGAACTCCTGAAAAACAAAAGGAAAATAAGGCAAATAACTATAATAGAGGCTCTCTAAACACCATTCAAGAAATGGCTTGACACACTGCCAGCATTTAAAACATAGACGTATGAGAATGACAGCATTCCAAAGCAAACAAAAGGTCATACCCAGTCACTTTTCACCTGGAAATAATCCATATGAATCATCAAAAATTTGAGAAGGAAATGATAGGCATATGCAACTAAACTATAACTTTTCAGTGAAAACTTAACAGTAAAACTGAAATCAAGAGAAGAAAAGCCTTGACATCAAGGTATTCTTGGGCTTATTACACAAAACCACATTTGTATCACTATAGCACATAGGATGATTGCTTTAAAACCCTCTAAAGGGAGAAGAGAAATCTCAAAGCAACCTGAAACTTGAATGACAGAGGTGAAGCAAGCTTATTTTATGGCATAGTACTCACAAAATTCGGTAAATTGAAGTTGAATTGCTTAT